CTTACATGCAATATTCATAGCCCTAGAGTTTTGAAACAATGCAGGCGTAACAGTCACTATATTCTCAATGCGCTCGCTTTGTCGTCGTGTTAAACTTTTAAGCTTGCTTTATGTCTTTGTTAAACAAGCCTAAAATTTGGGCCTGCACTTAACCACACCTGTTAACATCGCTACGTTTGCTTTGTCACATTCTCAATAGCATTAAGATGCTCTTTCTCTGTGATTATTTCTTCCTGTGGTGCTTTAAGCGTCTAGAATTAACCCTCCGTATTAAAACGTACCTTTAAGCCTTTCTGAGTGAGTTGGTGCAGGCGTAATTTTGCTAAGTAATCATTCTGTTTCACAGCCCAGCAGCTTGTTTCACATTATCTCTGAACTCTATATGTGTCATCCACAGAAACGAGGTCTACGCTGAATACTGCTCTGCAAAGTAACTCTATGAGTGTGTGCCTAAACAGACAACTGTCTACTACACTCCAAGTTAAACATCAGGTACATTACTGTTCAGGCTACCTAAGAAGTTCAGTCACGAATGCTCGTTACTTTATGGGCCTCTTGGTTAGTTTTTGTGGTTGCAAACGCTCGTGCGAGCCTGGAATCAGGTTTCAGGCAATGAATCGCTACCATTTGCAAATTAAATACCAAAATTCGATGATAAAGTAATGCTAGTCAAGTGGGAAATCTTATTGACAGCGAAATAATCTAGGTAATTTTAATTAACAACTTGCATCGGTACGCCTATATTAAGGGAAGAACTGGGAATTTCTGTGGCTTCTCGTTTTTTTTTTGTTAGACAATATAATGAGAACTAAATTACAAGAATGCCAGGGAAGGCATAGGGAATGATATCAGTAATAAATGTAGCGTAAATGTCAAGAAATAAAAGTAGACGAAAATTAAACTTGCCGGGGGCAGCGTCCGAACATGCCACCTTCAAATAACGCGTCCGATGATTTACCTATGAATTAGCGTGGTGGCTACTAGGAAGCCTTTATGTCCCCCTCGCCTCGGAGGCGGCGCACACATGAAGCCTCCTTAGCGGCAACGTATCTCCCAAGTCCCAAGTTTTCTGCCGCAAATAACCTGTGCAGCTCTCTTTTCTACCATGTCCCAATCTTTTTTTTTTAGATTTTGGCGCAACAAAATTCACTGCCATGAACCGAAAGCAACTAGTCCATGCTTCTACGCTTAGGAAGTTCTTCATAGTATGACAAACCTTGACATTCTTTCTCACTGCATGCGACGCTCAAAGTGGAGACTGGAGGTGCCGGTACCTAGAGTATATGTTTCGAGCACGCATATATATCTATTTAGAAGAATAAAGCATCAGAGCTGGTAAACCATCTCATTAGTTTCTACCTACAAATCGTAACGCTAATTTCAAAATTTTTCGCTTCATCACACAGATACAATCAGTTTGTGGAGGGCTGTCGCGAGTGCCTGAAGCAGCAACCCGGCGAGCCTTCACGTGACGAGCTGCGCCAAGATATGTCCAATGTCCGGCGTGAGCTCATCGCCGAAATGAAGGAAGTGTTCCGTTCGAGCTGCGAAGAGTTCGACAAGTGGCGAGTGTGGTACTTGGAGCGCGAACTCCAGCAGTCTTTCAGCGAAATGCAAGATGGCGACCGACTCAGTGTGATGGCCGCCGTTCTCCGGTACGAGATACTAGAGGGCCTGCCGGAACTCGAAAAGTGCACGCGGGAACGAGCTGCCGCACTTTGGAAAGAGCTCGTTGAGGAGCAATGGATCGACGTCGACGCATTATTCGATTCTTAGTTCACCTATACCTTGCCTGTGCTCATGTGATTGTCTTCAGAAGGCTCCCACTTCTGTCTCGCACTCGGCATGTCATCAACATACTCCGTCATCCTTTTTCATGTCGATGCGCGACAGTCACTAGGGGTTTCTAGAAATCATGTATGAGAATAAATCACTTGAAGAATTCTGAATTGCTTCAGCTTTTAATATTTCACATGGTCATGACGTACATTTCCACAGAATTGGGCAAACATATTGGTAAAGGCCTGCCAGATAGAGCAGGTACTGGCAGCACTGATCGTCCAGGTCATGCTGACATGTCTGTTCAGCTTCTCCTACGGCCAGAAGAAGGTGTACGGACACTTTCTAAACATTGTGGTCTAGAAACGTGTAAAAGCTTGCCTGTGCGTCTTGGCAGCAGTGATAGCGGATTCTCACTTTTGCACGTGTCGTCAGATTGTTGTTTGTGATTTGGGTGCACTTTATTCGCTCGTCTTCAATAAAACTTGTGCTTTTTCATCTTTTTATCTACAACGCCCACCTCTTGATTGCCAGTCTTCCTGTTATATTTTCATTTGGAGTGCATGTACGTTAGGCCCATCAAGGGAAACCGTATAACAGGTGCTTATGCTACCTGACTAGGCTCCTCACCGTACGTTATGATCATCTTGAAAACAACGACACAGAAAAATTATTGATGCATGCTTTACATGTCATTGACTGTCACGGTACGAGGTATCTGCCAGACTTTTGATTATAAAGTAAGTGGCCTTACCTCTAGGATGGTGCCCTTAGTTTCAGGGCTCTACTGTCTCGCAGCACTCTACGTGCCCACCCAATCAGGCGATGGTGAACAACTCTTCCGATGCTGCCAGCTGCCGAATTAGCACAATAATGACAATGAAGGGAGGCTCGTTCAGGTGTACGCACTCCATGTAACAATGAAGGGAGTAGTCAGTAGAGGCCGAATGTAGAGGCACTAAAGAGCGTGTTTTAGGCACCACAAAACGGGCAGCCAAAACACCGTTCTAGGCTTCAAAAATCATGGTTATATGCTCAGTACATGCTTCCATAGATTCAAAATATTTTTAAGAACGACGTACGAAACTTGCATTCATGGCAGGAAAGCGAAAAAAATGTTATTGTTCGTGATGGCACAAAAGCACGAATGATTAAACTTAGCTATGTAGTTATCTTTTTTTTCTCCTCTCAGTTTCTAGAACAGCGTGTCTTTTTTTTTTCTACATCAAGGTCACTCGAACGTCCACCTTTGGATCAACACAGTCTTGAACCTCTTTATTTTCGGCCGCGGACTGCAATCGCGAGCACGATGGCTGAATGGCAGGGTTCTAGCAACAGCACGGTTTTGCGGTGGCAGGTAGAAACGGACGCATTGCGAAGGCTTGAGACGTACGCTCGCGCGTCTTTGCAGTCGGGCAGTGTTACGACATACCCAAAAAGAATTCAACTTGAACCTTCACAGACTAACTGTTCGTTCACAGCAAAAGCCGTATAAATCTATAGGTGAAACGTAAAGCCGTTCGCCACGAGAGACAAATTTCGGCATTGACTGCGGCACAGTTAGATTGTTGTCTACGACGTACCCTACAGAGTGCGTCATTGGATACACAGCCACTGACGTCGTTTATCCCTTCGTTGCCATTTCTCCGAGCCCACTAGTTTACACTTCAAACGAAGTGGCTTTGAAAGAAAAAAGAAAATGAAAAAAAATCACTGCCCAAAACTCCGTACAAGAAGGAGCGTAAATGTGTAGCCCGCTGTTTAGCAGTACGTTCAAGCCGACGCTGCGCTCATGCCTTCCACGTTTACCGCTGTCATGTTCACGCTTCTTAATGAGGTTGAACACACGTTTGGCTTGAGTTCACTAAAGTGTTTATTACACATGCCGCCCACCGTGCCTCGCCTGATCATGGTCATGGAGGAGTGTAATGCGTAGTTAAATACGGTTCCCAATTTCTTAATCACAGTGGATGTTCTCGAACAGAAGGCAGTCACAGACAGCGTGGTTCAAACCAAAGTGTCACTGGAGAAACTGCCGCTGAAAACGAGCGTTCACAGCGAAGAACGCGCTCCCGTATTCGTCACGGTGACGCGGTCCTGCCCGCAAGGTTTTTAGTTTGACGTTTCTGTGGTCCGCCCCGCTCCTGGAGCACCCGCGAAGCCGCAGCGGAGTGGCGGCTGAATTTTCTCGTTTAGTTGTTCGTTGCCGACAGCGAAGCGTGCCTTTCGCAGTTGCAGCGCCCTCTGGTCGTTTTTATCGTCGGTAAACAAAATAAAAAACATTTTTTTCACGTATACAAAGCAAAACAATGACGTATAAATTATCTTTTCATGATGTATTTAGAAATCCACTTTCGATGTATTAACCGCTATTTTTTTTTTTTTTTTGACAAAGAAGCAAGCTCTGACTTGATAGTAGCCACTCAAAAGCCAGCAAGGTTCCGTTCCAGATCCATTGCAAGCATACACTGTGTGTTGTTTGCGCCTTTGACGCGTGTGTGGTGGCGGCGTTTTCATTTTTCACCGTTGAAACTGTGTTTGCATAACCATTGATGCCTCCGATAAGTGTGCTAGAAAACCCATTTTTGATGGGTTTCTTAAAGTGGTCTGAAATTGAGGACTTGTGCCTTGAAGTCTTCCAATACACTCGGCGAGACCCGCTGTCACGACATGGCCTCTTGAACATCGACAGCATGGACAGAGAACAATTTCGCACGTATTTTAGGTTTGAAAGAGATGATGTGCGAAGCCTGTGCCGTGCACTACAAGTGCCTGAAAATGTGACAACGCCGCAGGGCGTGCATGTTTCCAGAGTTGAGGCACTCTGCCTCACGCTACGGCGTTTGGCTTATCTTAATAGGCTGCGAGAACTGGAGCCGCTGTTCGGGCGGCATTATTCAGTGATTTCTTCAGCCACTAATGCAGTGCTCGCGCACATTGACAGCACGTTTGGACATCTCCTGCAGGATGTGAATAACCACACCTGGCTGGGCATCGCTAAACTCCAACTCTTTTCCGAGGTATGAAGTTTGTTAATTTGTTTTGTTACTTCTAATCTAATATACATTTTATCGCAGGCTGTGCATTCAAAATTGGCGCCGTTGCATAACTGTTGGGGCTTCATCGATGGGACGGCGCGAGCCATTTGCCGTCCATCGAAGGACCAGAAGCGGTTATTTTCAGGACATAAGCGCTTTCACGCCTTTAAATATAAGCCCATCATGTCTCCTAATGGAATCATTTGCCAACTGAACGGTCCATACGTCGGCAGCCGGCATGACGCAGGCAAGTTATTTTTGTTATACTGAGCCTTGTCCTATTTGTCCAAATTAAAAAAAAAGCATCATCGCGCCTATCTGAGGGAGTGTTCTGTGCTACTTAAGCAAACAAGCTATCACTTCGTAATAATTTTGTGAAGTACACTCAGTGTGGGACAACTAATTGTGGTTACAGCAGAAAGCAGCATATTAATCAAATTGAATGGTGTTGCAAAGAGAAACTGAAAAAATTGTGAACTGTTTATTTCGAGAATAAGGTGCAAGCTAAAATGATAAATGCATGCCCCAGTTACCATTATAATGCTGTGGCCATGTTTTCTTTGTTACTCTGCAACAAGTCTTCAGTCATAACTCGTCACAGGTAATGCCATGCAGGTTCTATTTATAAATGCAGTATAAATGTGTTTTGCTGCATAGCACTGTGAAGAAACCTTCCTACTTGGATAGGCATCAAAGCTTTTTATTTATTTTTTTATTCGAGAGATTGCATCTAAAAAGTGCACACTACAGATTCCACTTAACATTTGTGTAAATTTATTGGGGAAGTGGCAAGAATTTTATGAAGCATTCAGTGTCGCATATCATGTGGCAATATGTTTTCATGTGCTCCTGTATTTCCAGGTATCCTTCGGAAGAGCAACACCTATCGCAAGCTAGAGAAGCTTGCCAAAGGCCACAGCTTTTGTTTGTATGGTGACCCTGCCTATCCACTGCAACCTCTGCTGCTGAAACCTTATGGCGGGAACGTGACTGTGCAGCAGCGGGCTTTCAACAAGAGAATGAGTTCCGTTAGACAAGCAGTCGAATGGGGTTTCGGAAAGATTGCAAGCTTGTTTGCTTTTCTGGATTTCCGTAAAAATCAGAGACTCAAACGGCAGAACGTGTCACGCATGTACGTGGTTGGCACAATAATTGCTAATTGCCACACTTGTATGTATAGCTCACAGGTATCTTAATACATTCAAGTTGAACCTCCTCAGCTGGAAGAATATTTGAGACCAAAGAACTGAGCGGATTCCTTCGACACAGTTTCTTTCTTTGTGTAGGCTAGTAACTTTTTTTCTAATTGGTCGAGCTTGTTGCTCATTTCCTGGAGAATTTGAGTAGAATTCTGGCGCTGAGCCTCCATTTTCAGGCGCTCTTCCTCCAATGTTAGTTTTCTTTGTGCTAGTGTCGTACGACGTTCCTCGAGGTCAAGCCGTCGGTGTTCTAGCTCCATTTCCTTCTGCCGGAGAAGGAACTCATTCTCTTCTCTTTTCAGAAGCAGCTGCCGTCCAAGGACCTGGAGGCCTCTGATTACTATAAAATGAAGTAGAACACAAATGACATACTTCTAAAGTGTTACAGCTCAAAACTAATTCACTCTGGGATCAGCACCATCTTATCACATTCGGGTATGATGAACGCCAAGCCTCGAATAGGCATTGAAAAAACAAGCAAACAAATCACATGTAGCGCATGTATGTTGTTTCAATGCAATGAGAGCTATGCATCATCTGGTGCAACTTGAAAAATTATGCAAGTTTGATTTGCAATACCTGTCGGAACAGCAGACTGTCTGTAACGCCGCCGTTCCGACGCATGAAGGGGCCCTTGAGCATCATGGGCAGCGTTGCCCCCTTGAGCGTCCTGGTCAGCGTCGCTGTCCTCTATTGTCTCTGTTTCCAAGGTATCCTGTGCTACAAGGGCATGAATGATCATCAGAAGTTAGGCACTCAGCATATTAGCTAAAATATTGTGTATATCACTTTTAATTCATGTTTTGTAGTATATTGCACAACGATTACAGGGTGCAACTTGCGTTGCAGCATCGTGCATAAACACTTTCATGTGCAAATTTCTGCTAGTAGTCGTATTAAAGAATATACATTTGCATAGCAGTAAGGGTGCACTTGCTTCTCATGTGTTTTTTGCCTACGAACATTTGTTTATTGTGCCTTGTTGTAAATGTTGTGAATGAGTAAATAAAAATATATTTTGCTTCTAATGTACTTTGCACATACTTGGTGCAGCAGCCGGAACCTCTCCAGCCAGGCTGGTTGTGGTTCTGTCGCCTGCTGTCCCGTCACCTTTATGTGGTGGCTCACTGAGGTCATCCTCATAGATTGCCAACAGAATGTTTGTTGCTGTTGCCTCATCTGCACATGGAAAACGAGGCACATGAGTGAGAATGTCATTAGTAGTACTATACGACCCCTGAAGAAATAATTCACACAGAATAAAAACTACCTTTCTTCCCTATATCTGTCAAAATAGATATTTGTTTTCCCAGTTCATAAGCTTAATTCACAAATATGTTCACTGAGGTTATGAGAGAAATTCAGCAAGCTGAAACAAAGCATTCGATTATTTTTAAATTCAGACATTTCTCACTGAGTGCCGATTAAGTACATCACACATCCACAACGTGGGACTGTAGTATATTGACTGCCTGAGAATCAATGTCTTATAATGAACAGGCACAGTGGCCAGCATATTACTGAATAATGTAATATTTATAGTGAAAACTTTCAGCTAAGTAACCTGTCTGACTACTGTTTCACAACAATTCATCCTGTGAACACTGCCATTGAAATACATGTCGTCACTCCCGATACAGAAATCGCTAAGATGAACACTTCACAGTTTTCATAGTACAAGTTTAGGTGTGGGTTGCTGTTAGCCTCCACTCCAGATTACTTGCCATTTTTCTGTCCGTCGTCTGAGGCCCGGACAGCGGGTAAAGATGCCATTGCAGCATCCCTAATTAGCAGAGCCTGGGCTCTGCGCGCCTTGGCCGATGCTAATTGTTGAGCGGGCTGTCGCAGCCCCACGCCGTTTTTTTTTCGACAGCCGCATGCCGTTTGCCTTCCGCAGCACGGTTCTGGGGGCATAATCGACCTCCCTCATGAGGTCCGATACGTCTTGAAGCAGCTGCTCCCGCTCTCCATATTGTTATAGAGGCTAGAAGGTTTTCCTAGTGTCCGGAGCGGGCGTCTCTTATCCCGGCGCCCGCGGAAAGCAGTTTGGATGAGTGGAACGGCGGCCGTGTGGTGGCGCTGGGTGTCGGCGGCGCGCTGTCAGCAGCGGCTCGCGCAGCAGTCGAGGGCGCGTAAACGTATACCTTTCTTCGGTGTGCTTAGCACGTGCGTTGTTGGCGTGCTCCTTGTTTCTTCCCTGTGTGCTCAAGACACGATGTGAGGCAGCGTTTTGAACTGTTGTGTGTGCCATAATGCCATCTAAAAAGGCAAGAACGTGTTTCGTGCCGCTTTGTAAAGGTGGATACAAGTCGTCAACACGAAAGGTATCGTTGTTCCGTGCTCCGACCGACCCTGCTCGCTTGAAGGAATGGGCAAGAAATATCAAGCGGGAGGACAAAGTTTTGGATAACACCTGTGTTGTCTGTTCGCGCCACTTCGATGAATGATTTATCTGGAAAAAGTTTACGCACGTAATCAATGGAGAAACTGTGCAACTTGACCGTGAACGTCCAGCGCTTACAGAGGACGCCGTCCCTACTATATTTCCTGAGGCTCCTTCGTATTTCACGAAGCAGGTGCCGAAGAAAAGGAAAGCTAGAGACTTCGGTAACACCGAAGCCGCACCGGCGAAACGAAGTGCTTCCAACACCGAGGTTGATGTAGTCGTTGAGATGGATGTCTGCCCGGAGGAAACGCCGCAGCCATCCAAGCTTGGGGATATCATTTTGCCGTCCCCATTGTGCAGCAAGGTTGTCTTGCCAAGTGAGCCTACAGCCCTCTGTTTCGCCTGGCACACAAGCTCAGAACCCGGCGACTTGCGTGTTATGAAACATGTTACAATTTCAGCGTGCACAGAAGCCACTGCAGCACAGAAAAACTCATTTCTTTGCACCGTGTTCTGCCGCGGCATTAAGACAGTTGAACTGCCCGTAAATAACGAGTGTGACGCTGCGGATACGCTGAAGAAGGCCGATGGACTGAAACTTTGCCCAGGATGTGGCATTGCGCCAGTAGCAAGTGGCCAGTGCGTGAAGTTTGGTGCAGCCCACTTCGCAAAGAACTGCCTGGTGACCAGCCCCGACGGGAAACCATGTTTGCGCTGTAAATACACTCGGAAGCTGGTGCAGAATCACATGTACAGGCTGAAGAAGAAACACAGCACAAGCTTCAAACAGCGGTTGGCCAGAAAGTCGCTCGAGTTGTTCCGAACGAAAAGAAAGCTGACAAAGGCACGCAGAAGCCCGGAAGATCTTAGGATAATGAACCAGAATATCGATAGTTCAACCTTGGATGAGAGGATCGAAGGTCTGCCTCCCAAACAACGCCTTGCTGTGAAAACATGCTTTGATGCTGCCTCCAGAAAGTTGACCAGAGGCATGGTGTACGACCAACTCTGGGTTTTTGGAGTGTATACTTATGCGCATAAAGAGCCCCAAGCTTTATGAGCACGTGCGGAGGCATGAGATACTGGCTCTGCCCAGCAAGTCCTGTTTAGACCAACACATGGCCGGTTTTAGGAGTTCGTTTGGCTTTAATGCCAGCGTTTTCGAGGCACTGAAGAAGAAGACTGAAGGCACGGGTGCACACAGCGGCCATGGTGGTGTTGTGTTCGGCAAAATAAAACTCTCAGAGAACATCAGTGTCAAGACCTCTGGAGAACTGAGCGGCTTTGTGGACCTCGGCCTATTTACTGAAAGCGACGAGACTACAGTGAGTGACCACGGCCTTGCCATCTTGTTCCAGCCTTTCCAGGGTGAGTTCTCTGTAGAGCATGTGATGAAAGAGTAATCTTTTTCACGTTTTGATACTTTATACTTTGGAACTAAATTGTACTGCACAAGCATTTCTCTTTGCAAAGTTGTTGCACTTAACAAAGCCCTTTTATTTCCTTTTCCAGGGAACTGGACCCAGATACTAAGGGTTTTCTCTTCCAAGGGAAACGTGAAGGTGAACATTCTTTCAAAAATTCTTCTGGTGGCCACAGTTCTGGCTGAGAAGTCTGGCCTTTTCGTCGACTACTGGACCAGTGATGGGGCTCCTTGGAATCGCAGTTTATGGAAACTGTTTGGGATCAAAAGTAGGCCAAATTTTATCACGACACTTGTATTTAATCTCGTCGAGCCTGCTCAGTTGCCCTAAGTAACAAAGTTTTCTTACCTCTGCAGCATCCATCAAAGAAATTAAGTGCAAAGTTCCCCATCCAGTGGACGCAACAAGAAGCCTGCATTTTATCTCCGACTTTCCTAATTTGGTCAAATGTGTGCGAAATGCTTTCATGTCAAAAGGTCTTCAAATTCCAACAGGTCATGCCTATGCCGATGTAATTAAGGAAGCCTGGAAAGAGGACCAGAATTCTCTAACACTGAAAGTTATGCCACGCATTACCAAGTCTCACGTTCAGCCAAATTCTTTTGAGAAATTGCGGGTGAACTTAGCTTTTCAGTTGTTCAGTGAAGAAGTCCTTAAGGGGCTTTTTTTTTCTCTAAATAACACTTGAACAAAACATTCCGAGCAGTCCAACCTACAGAAGAGCTTGTAAAGCTCATGGAGAAGCTGATTTTTGTCATGACATCTAGAACACCATCGAAAGGCCTCCGACCAAACTCGCCGAGTGCGCAGTTTCTCGACAATTTCATTGAATTCCTGGCTGAGTGGGAACAACACGCTGCTGAGCATGGTGGCGGGTTTTTGAGTCCAGGAACTGCCTGTGGGCTGCGTGTGACATTGAAAACACGCTCTCACTTCTTTGCTACTTGAGTAGCTCTCTTGGTTTTAAATATCTCTTAACGGCAAATTTAAGCCAAGACAAAATGGAAAATGTGTTCGGCATTGTAAGGCAGTCTTTCGGATGCAATGACCACCCATCACCGGAGCAGTTCTTGATAATAATCAACAGTCTGTCATTCTACAGCATAGCATGGTCCCCTAAGAATGGGAACTCTCCCGAAGAAGTTGTCACAGCACTTTTGGGGCCATCTAACCCTGGTAGAGAAAAGTTAGCCCACATATCAGCAGTAATTGACGAGATTTTGGATGATGGCAACTTGGAGCGTGCAGAATATGTGTTGCGAACACAAGGGCTGCTTGATCACAAAAGCTGCATTGAAAAGCACAGTGACAGCCGCCTTGTATTTTACATAGCAGGCTATGTTGTGAGAAAATTCCTCAAAAGGTCTTAATGCCTTGAATGCGCTTCTTCTCTTTGTATTTTGCCTGTGCAAGCAGAGTGCAATGATAACGCTTCTTTTACGCGAGAATTTGATCATGCTGGGTTAATTTACCTTTCCAAGCTGGTCGAGGAGCTCGTTGGGAATCTTTAAAACACCTTTACTGTGTTTTTCAGCAGAAATGAGCTTCATGCTAGAAGCATCATGGCCTTTTTGCAGTTTTTGCACGGAGCTCAGCTGAAAGAAGTTGGGTGCAGCGAACACGGAAGGGATGTTACGAGGAACATAATTAAGCTCTATGCCCTGACCCGACTACACTTTTTTGCAAAAGCAAAGAACCTGGACAGGAGCACTCAGAGGCGAAAACAAAAAGTTCTGAAATAGAGGCGATGTCAATATAAACGTCTGCAGTTCAGCAAAGTGACCTAGTTTTGTACACGCACCGTCGTGCATACTTTTTTGGAGTGTAAAATATTCTGTGCTCGTGTGTATTTTTTGTTTTTCGCACGAAAGTGTGACTGTTTGTTAAATTATGTATCTATTTCTTGATTTGCTCCCGAAGATGGGAATGTGTGTTAATTTTCTAAATGTGTGATTTTTGAAGTTTTATTTTGTAACGCTGCAATAAATGCTCATTGACAATCTTGAATTCTGTTATGTTTGGGGTTGTTGTGTGGTAGTTTTAGATGCGGAGCATCTTATACTCGCGCCTTGTAGTGCGCCGTCCGCACCGCTTCTCGAACATTCGACAGCTGACGCGCGCGCATGCGCCGACGCGCCGTCGCCCACTCTTCCACCATCTGTGCATCCCTTCCTCCTCTACACACCGCGCGCGCTTCACTCCTCCACCATCTGTGCACCCTTTCTCCTCTACACACCGCGTTCGACATCTACAATTCTCCTGATTCTCCAGTGGACGCGCATGTGGCGTCGCGCTTCGAGAACATTCAACAGCTGACAGTGCATTGGCCGTCGTGCTGTATATATACTCAAGGTCGGCGCTCGCTCGCTCAGTTGCCGCTCGTCGGTTGGTTTGTACGGTGCGTCGACGTCCAAGGTCGCGGTGAAATGAATTCCAACGAATCCACAAACACAATGATCGACGTCCCTTCGACCAGCGCCGCCCTTTCGCATACGTGTGTACGTGTTCACTCATTTAACACCCCCTCCTACAACCACGTTAACCAATTTAGCCATCGACCCAAGTAAGTCGCAATTTAACACCCCATTTCACAACCACGTTAACCAATTTAGCCATCGACCCAAGTAAGTCGCACTTTAACACCCCGTTAACCAATTATATGGTCCGCATCCTCCTCAGTGTTCCCCCGAGGGAAGCTGCGGGCAATTTTTTTGTATTGGAAACTTCAGCTGTATTTCATAACTCGTTGCTTCCGCTATGTTCTTGATAGTAGTAATATTTTAATTACTACTCAGGGTGGTTGGAACCACGCGTACAGGGCCGATAAAGGAAAAACTGCCCCTTCCACTTGCTGCAGTGGCATAGTGCATGGCTAAAGCGTTGTGCTGCTGAGCACAAGGACGCGGCTTTAATTTCTGGCCGCGGTGGCCGCTTTTTTGAGGGAGTTGAAAAAAAAACCCCGTGTGTTCGAGATTTCGGCACACATTAAAGATCCCCAGGTGGTCGAAATTAATCGGGAGTGCTCCACGAAGGCGCAGTTTCAGCACGTTAATCCCCGCAATCAAACTACCCCTTCCGATGAGGTTTGCGCACCCAAGCTGTGGTCGCGTAATGTGCGCTTGTCAAGCTCACAAGATCGCCATCGTGAGTGTATGTAATCGCATGTTTGATTATTTTTCGTGTCTCTTCAAAGGACTTGTAGTGAGCGGCCAAAAAATATGCTCGCACGCGAACAGCCGCACAAAAGCGCGCAGACGCTCACGAGAGCCGCGTGCCAGCGAGCCGTGGCGCCATCTACTGTGGATCATTGCAGACTATTTCGCTTCGGCGCGCCCTTTCCCGGCACTAGGAAAACTTTTCTAGCCTCTATAATATTTTTCTTCGGTGCCGGACCTACGGAGCAATCAAGCACGTTACGATGCGACTGTTTCATCTACAGCACTTGAACAGCGTTTACTAATAAAGTAAGCAAGCACTCACTTCCTCAGGTTCACTGTGTCCTGCTGTCGGAAATAGCCGATGAGGAGGTCCACTCGCTCTTTGATGGCGCGAATTGTGAGCTCGAGATTTACCGCTCTCAAGACGTTTCGCAGCACGTCCTCCAATGCGGCGGGATTGCTGAAGGGATCAGCACAACCACTTCTTTCAAGAAGCACAAATCTTAATCGAATCGAAAGCGTTTTCGCGGCTTGCGCTGGGCAGGTGACAGCCAAGCTGCAGCACTCGCGGAAAGCATGCCATCTCCGGAGGCAGCCCAACACAGTGATCTGTGTTTTGGAGGACCAAATAAAAGTTTATCCAATACAATCCAATCCGGAGGCAGCCATCTTGAAATGAGCAAAGTTGCTGCACGCACGAGAGAGGGCGCGCGCGTTGTCCCCCTTCCGCTTGCGAAAACGGCAGCGACGCACCGCGCTCCACTTAGGCTGCTCGTAAGCGGACCGTATTCCCCGCTCCGGTAACCCGCTTAAGGCCTTAGCGGAGGGCGCATGCGCACTCGCGTTCCCGTTCCGCTTAGCTGCTAAGCGGAGCGTAAAAACGTCAAACTAAAAACCACTGTTTGTTCGGCGTTGTGTTGTTGGACGCGTTTGACAACGCGAGATATAAGTCAGTGGCATTGTTTGCAGGGTCCGCTGGCCACCGGCGCTTCCATTCTCACTCGCAACTTAGCGCGGCTTGGAAGGCTGCCGGATCCTCGGCACGCAGTTGTTGCTAGCACTCAACCTCCCGGGCCTGTTTTTGTGCCCGGTGTGCAGCATCGGCCCTGCAAATGTAAGATCTCTCACATTTGCCTATTGGCGCTCTTCTACAGTTATCAGTGGCTCACCCATATGGAATCTCTCAGGTGAAACTGATGCGTGCGTGCTCGGCGCCATGTCTGCGACGGGATAGACGGCGTCACTCACAGCGCAGCCAATCGCGCGCGTGGATAGGTAAGGCGCTCAGAACGACGTAACTGATAGCAGGCCCCATGTAGCTTATCTAGAACGATGCCTGCTGAACAGTTTTTCGTTTCTCGTAGCCATACACTGCTTTCGCTGCATAAAGTGCAGCGCCGTAACTGTCTCTTGCAATGGAGTTCATTTAAACCACGCTGCACAGGATAGGGGAGCAGGACAGAAAGCAATGTAGGAGATAAGGAAAAGAGTGAGGATTGAAAACAAGGTAATTCAACCCTCCCTGACCGTCTGCGTGTGCGTCGCCTCTCAGCCACGGAAAGCCGTCATGCGGATTGTATGAATGCCCGTATAGCAGGTAGCTGTCCAAAAACACCACCGACAGCTAATTCATGGGATAATTCACGTTCATCAGGCTGATGCAGAAGGACGGCAACAAGAACAAGTCTCTGTGGCAAACCGCAAGCGGCAGCTGTGCACCGAGTATACAATACAAGAAATACAAGAGTAAGCAAGTAGCAGACAGAAAAAAAGAAAGAAAAAGAAATGCACGTAAAAAGAGCGACAAAAGAACATACGATAGAGATAGAAGAGCATTGAACGAAACAAAGCTCAATGTAATAAAAGTGATACCAATAACAGCTAAAGAAAAATAGAGATATAAAAAGAGAAACTAGAAAGGCCGCACCACTCCGCTTTTTCTTCAAGCTTGGCAGTAGTACTTCAAAGATGCCGCTTTTATGCCGCTATTCAGGTATATTTTGTGTCTACAAGAGTATTGCCCGGCAATGTACAAAAACATTTGCGTCATCTTTTGCGTTACTTAGCGCTCCTCAAAGGATGGTGCAGCCATTTAGAAGTGGCGCCCTGAAGTATGGCGCCCTGGTTCTGCGGGAGCACGTCGGCGTGGCGGAAGCTTGAACATTACACTAGGCGGCTGCTTCTCTCATAACGAAATTGCGGGGCACATTCTCTTTCTCGTCAGATTAGCTTCTGATGTGTCATTTCCTTCGTAGGGAAGTTTCAGCAGCGCTTTACTGCTTCTAACGAGGGAACTCTCCAATTTCTGTTTAAAGCAGCTCTCGTGAAAGTGGGCTAAACTATAGTTCCTCTTTTATATGTCGTCAATTTTTTCCTACCTGAATCAACATAGAACCCGTAATGTTCACAAAATGTTTACAAAACCTGGTTTTTCTGAGAACCACCGAAGAAAAAGCCCGTGAATTGTGCACGTATGTTTTTTTTATTCTTTCCAACTGACCCCCGAAATGCCCGACTCAGAGAGCACCTCCTTAAGAGGCATCTGATATCGTTGGCATTTCTTGCTGCAACTTCTCATCATTCGTTCATTCAACTCAACTCGAACTTTCCACCATCTCCTCAACTGCCTATGAATGGAATAGCTTTATTACTTGCCCTGCAGGTTAATTACCCTGGCTCTAGTCCCTCATGTCAGGACGCCTGGGCCTTGCCTCTCTACCATTTTATGGTCCTGCTGGACTGCCCAGAGCTTTTCGGCGAGCTTGTAAGTCTGTAGAGTGGCTTCCCATCTCACCGGAAAAACATCGGAAGTAATGCGTTTCACGTTATCAACGCATTCCCAGAGCATGTGTGTTAGCGCAACTGGGTCTGAATGTCAGACCTTACAATTCGTGGTGCTATAAATATCAGGGTATATTCGGTGATGTAGCAGTGGATTGGGATAAGTGTTAGTTTTGCAGCTGTCACCAGGTTACTGCTTTGCATAGACTGCTAAAAGCACAACAAATATTGACGGCAGTAGCATGGAAAGCCGACCTAGTTAGTACTGCATTACAAAATACATTGCATAACAACTTTCTCGTTGGTAACAATACAGAGGGGCGTGCATACCGGCGAGGCGTCATGATTCCCTTTGCTTTTTTTTGTTTCCTACGTCGGTGTAATCTGCACACCAACTTCGGCTCCACTACTTTTTTCTTCTATCCAGCATA